TGTCCCCAGGGATCCTGAGGAGATAAGGGAGTAAGTTTTGAAGTGTCTTGTTTTATGTTTAGGAGCTCTAGTGATGATGTGGTTTAAAGCATTGGGCTGCTAACCAAAAGGTTGTTGGTTCAAACCCACCAGCTGCTCTTCAGCAGAACGATGAGGCGGTTTGCTCCATGAAGATTATAGCCTTGGAAACCCTGCGGGGTAGTTCTGCTCTGTCCTAAAGGGTTGCTGTGAGTCAGAATTGATTCAGTGGCAGTGGGTTTGGTTTTTGTTTTATCTTTAGGCAGACCTTTTATTTCCACATTGATTAGTTTTAATTGGAAAATAGTGGTTTGAATTGTTTTACTTGTTAAATATATCCTTGCCCCAACTATAAATCTTCAAGTAGATTTAATAGTCTGAGAAGATGGTGCTTGTTCCTCTGACATGGCTGCCTCCCACCCTCTGGTCACGAGCAGGTTCCCCAGGATGAGAAGACTATCTCCTTGAGTTTGAGCTGCTCCTCAAGCTTCTGCAGAGGCTTTGCAGATAACACCAGGGCCAACCACATTTCTGGTGACTTGCCCACACTTTGCAACTCCCTCACTTTTCTTGCATCTTCTGTCCTCCTCTCAGCTGTGGATTCCCTGTCTATTAAATGATCATGGTTTCTTTCACTGGATTGGTGTGACGGTTTTTAAGGGCTTGTGTTCTGGTCACCTAGTGCCACTCTAACAGAAATAGAACAAATGGAGTGCTTGAACAAATAGGAGTTTTATTCTCTTATAGTTTTGAAGGCTAGAAGGCTGAGTTCAAAGTGCCAGGCTCTAGGGGCTGGGTGAAAGCCCTTGGACCTTGGGCTTCAGCTCTGCTCTTGCTCCCAGCCCACTGAAGCTAGAGGCATCTTTTCACTCAGGCAGCTTTGGCTGCTGAGGCTGACAAAACCCAAGGATGACAAGTAACAAGGCACAGTCCCAACGTTACCAAACAACATGGTGGGCCAGTAATTCAAGTCAATTGAAAGTTCCAAGATCAGCAGAGCATGGCAGGCTGCTGAATAACAATGTGGCTGCATGCAGGGTTCAAGCTGCCATAAACTGGAGACCATTTCCAAAGTTGCTGCTTATATATGGGAAGCAGACCACATCCCTAAAGCAGCTACTCAGCTACTTGTGGTAGAGCCTACCATGGAGTTCATTGCCACCCTCATCGGGGAGAATAGCTACCACCAGCTGCCCAGCCAGGTTGACCCACAACCTTAACTACTACAGCCTGTTTTTTTTTTTTTTTTTTGGTATGCTCTAGCAGTCTTATTTTTGGAATTTATTTATTTAATTTTGCCTTACCAGAGGAATATAACCAATATTTTGTTTCTATCTGATTCTAGCAGGTCCTTATTTTTTTCTTACAAACCTGCTTAATATTTCATTTAAGGCATAGTTGCTATATTATGACACTATCAAAGGGTAGACTTAGCCTGGTGTTGCTTGTGCCAGTTTCTTCTGGCACTCAGTCAGCATGAAGGCCAGCTGTGTGTGTATGTGTGTTGGGGGGGCGGGTAGCATATTATCATTTCTGTCTTGGAATTAAACAAGCTGAGCCAGCAGCACATAAGAAAGCTAACTTCAGATTGTGATGAGTGCCACTTCTGGCTGGTATATATGTTGTATTCTCTAGCCACTCCCAGTTGTTTTCCAGTTTTTGTTACAATCTTGACAAGAGAGTTAATACTTTTTAGTAATTTAACAGCAGTGAGGGCTTCCTTCCTAAAATATTTTTGCACCTAAATCTTACATGAAAAGGTTGTTGCCAATTGACTGATACCGAAGACTTGATGCATGTTAGGCCCTCATGTCCTTTGGAACATTATTTGTACCCAGGCTGCCTTCTCCTGAAAGTCTTCCTGTAACTGGTCTGATCTTGCTTGATCCCATGTATCCCCTCTGTCCCTTGCAAAAACCATCATTTGTATCACAAGCAGTTATCTCCATCTCCTGAAGACTGACTTCTGCTACGAAAAGAGCTTTTTACATAGGTGTTAGAGATCTTAAGGTGCTCTGGTAGCATAGTGCGTAAGGCATTTGACTGCTAACCAGAAGGCTGGCGGTTCAAACCCACCAGCCACTCCTTGGAAGGAATATTGGGCAAGCTACTTCCATAGTGATACTGCCTTGGAAACCCAAGGAGGGGTCACTATGAGTCGGGTCTGACTCGATGGCACATAACAACAACAATAGAGATCTTAAAATCTTTTTTAAACTAAAGGACAAATATAGTATTAGTTCATTACTGTAAAAAGTCAAGGAAAGGTTTATATATGGAAGGAAAATTTCTTTGTTGATTACCAGGGATGGGAGGGGAGGGGACGGTACGCTGCAAAAAAAAAAAAAAATGCACTGACCCATGTCACTTTAGTTTTGTGTATTTCACTGTACATAAATTATATTTCAGTAAAATGCATTAAAAAACATATTTTTTAAACTAATAGGTCATTGTAGCATCATAAAAATTCCATGAGATAGACAGTATGGTTATTGTTATTACCCGTTTTATAAATGAGGAAACAAGATACAGGTGGATGTGACTTTGCAGCGTAGAGGCAAAGCCAGGATTCCATCAGATCTCTGGGCTACCAAGCCACAGAACCATTTGGCTTCAGTACCGTCATACTTTCTGGAAACCTTTTTCTGAAAGTCCTCCAGTTTTCCCAAAAGTAGGGAGAATTTAATCAGGTTGATATGTCTACAAAAAGATAGCCCCAAAATATATTGGAGTGGGTTGTTTTTTTTTTTTTTTTTTAAAGTCTTAAATTCAGGGGTTTTCTGAATATTTAGGACTGGTCCTTGTTTTAGGTTAAAGATGTTTCCTTCCTGAGAACAGAGCAGACTGAAACAGAGAAGATAGTGACTGGCTAAGTTTTCATTTTTATCTTATTTCTAGGATAGTTTTCTACCCGTCTTCATTGAAATATTGTGAAAAGGTCATGGATGGAAGAAACACACCACTTGTTTCTTAGTAGGCATTTCTGTATCACAGGGTTTCTCAAAAGTAGTAATGGCGATCCTCTGGCTATTGTTAGAGTTTCTGAAAACCTAGTAGGAATGGTATATTTCCATGAGAAAAACTGGAGTTTTAAATGTCAGGCTTCTTTGCTTTTGGCTGGAATTCGGTAAACCTGATTAGGAGCTATGGTTGTCAAGAAATGGTCATGACCAACTATTATTTTTGAAAATACCCATTTGTTTGTAAACAAGGAGTCCATGAGGAGAGAAAATGAAAATACAAATGGTCTGGAAGGCTCCTTAAGAGTTGGAGTCTTACAACTCTGTGGCAGTGGTGGGAGATGTCCACCAGGTGGCACCAGGAATTTGCTTATAATGTTCGATCCCACCTAGCACCTGGAACACTTGAAGCCCATTTACACATCTCCCTCCTGTGAAGTATGCAGCTGTTCCCTCGGTTCTGGTCCCCGAATTTCCTGCACCCATTTAATGCTGCTTGTGCTCTACATCAGCATCTAACCACATTCTGCCTGTGATGAAAGATGTAGGTGTTGGCTCCCGCACTGAATTGTAAGTTTCTTGAGAGCAGGTACCAGCTGCATCCACTTTAAAGCTTATTCCTTTTGTGTTTCGAGCAGTGCCAGCATCAGGAACTCTCAGTTGCATTGTTGAATTAACATCTGTTGGTGATCTGTGGCCTAATTGTAGACCTCCATAGGTTCACCCATCAGTATTAGTACTTGCTTTGAAGAGTAGATTTATTTTCCCAGCTGGGTAAATGAGTTCTTGCAGCAGAAGGTGGTTTTGGGGCTATGGAGTGTATAGTTTGGTAAACTTCACTCTAAACTGCACACTGACAAACCATTCTCGGTAATTTCAAAGATAGTCCAAAGAAACAAATCATTCCTGTGGATGAGTCTTTCCTGCAGCACTGCAGTTGGTCTTGGGCAGTGAGACCTCCACACGTGATAGACAGCAGATGGCCATGCTAAGGTCTTGCTGTGTGCCGTGTGCGTAGGCACTTGGGAAATGCAGAAAAAAAATCCTCTTTGTCGCGCTCAACCCTCTTCCTTATCTGGGTTCCCAACAGGGACTCCTACAGCTGCCAGTGCTGTCTGATCAGGGAAGAATACCTACTCTTACCAGGGAGGGGCCTGGGAGGGGCAGTAATACCGTGAGCATATTTTAGTTGGATTATATCATTTTATTGGGGACCATTAAGGAAATGGATGTTCATTTTTTTCTTTTTCAGAAAACAGATACGGCTTTTAAGCCAATTGGGAGGAAATTTGAAAAGGTTTTATAATAATGTTATTTCATTATTATAGCCAATCTACACAGGCAACTAAGTTATGTTTTCTAGGCTAACCCTGGCTCAGGCTTCTTCATTATGTGGATACTTTTTCAAAGTGTTTGATTTGATGATACATTCCGAAGTTTGTGTTGGGTAGCAGGCCCAAGAGTGTGCAAAACTCTGAGCAAACAGCATTTACATTTACTTAATTTAATTTTTAAAATGAGCCACAGTTTAGGCGATACCAAAGATTGTAATGCTGATGTGATGTGTCTGGCTCCTTCTCTAAAGGCTATTTGTGTAGCTCCTAGTGAATTTGATAAACTAAAGCCATATTTTTATTTCTAGAGCTGAGAGTGCCCACATTGGCAGTTTTGACCTCTGGATGTTCAGAGTACCAGAAGTTCTGATTATGAGATGAAGAGGAAATGACGGTTTTTCTTGTCCATTAAAAAACCTAGGACTCACTCATAGCACTCCCTGTCCTTTATCCCACAATCACAGCAGAGAATGTGATCCCTGCTCTTTGAGGTGACTTGATTTTAAAGGGTATGATCAGAATCAACCTGTTAGTTGTCCATCTTCTCTGTGAATCTATATCTTGATTTGTAATGACTTTGGGCAGTTGAATTTAAGTTCATTGGGGGTGGATTGTGGTTGCTTTTAAGCACATTTTCAGAAACTGCTGGCACAAATTAGCTTCACTAATACAGCTGCTTTGTTTTTAGGTGATTGGGCAGGACAATGTGGCCGTCCCCTCACACCTTTATAAAGTGATCCTGGCTCGCAGAAGTCCAACATCTGCGGAACCGCTGGCACTGGGGGCCTTTGTGGTGCCCAATGAGCCCATTGGCTTCCAACCTCCGTTAACTGAATTCCAAGTGAGCCTCCAGGACCTAGAGAAGCTGTCAGGACTGGTGTTCTTTCCTCAGTTGGACAGAACTAATGATATCAGGAATATCTGCTCCGTGGACACGTGTAAGCTCTTGGATTTCCAGGAGTTCACTCTGTACTTGAGCACAAGAAAGGTGGAAGGAGCCTCCACAGTGCTCAGACTAGAAAAGATCATGGAAAATTTGAAGAAGGCAGGAATTGAACCAGATAGTCACTTCATTAATATATATGAGAAGAAACTAGAAAAACTCAAAGCTAAGGAGCAGTCAGAAGCCCAAGAAAGAAAGCCATCCTAATTTTTATCTTGGAAGACATGGGTCATCTGTAATAAAGCAGCATGCTCTCTTCAGCTTAATGTATTTTAGTGGTTTGCTTTAAGAAAATGATAGAATCTGAAATTTAAGTTGAAATTTCCCCCCAAAAGGTGAAAGATCTGTAGTTTTTTGCAGTATTTTATTTGATTGTATAGTTAGCTTTGGGAACCATTAAGGAAGGTGCTACACCTGCAGATCAAGTGCTGATCTTGTGTCAGGTTCATAAGAGGACTGTATACAACATGATGCTGTTTGTGTCCCTCTGGATGTAGTGGCTCCAAATTATATATTGTCTTTGATGTATCTCCTCCATCGTCTTGGAACCCATTATTGTGCATTTTCTTTCTGTAGGACCTATGTTGATATTGGAGATGACTTTTTGAAATCTCTATATACTGCCCTATCTACATGTATGTATTTGTTTCTTATTTCTCCTCTCATGGGCCTGCTGCTCCTCTAGTTATGTCCATATGGAAGCACTCAACAGCTACATTTTCTGCTCCCTTAGTGTGCTCTATATCCCAAGCTCAGTCCTTTATGTGTATTGTCTCACAGTGACCCTACAAGGTAAATACAACTAATCCCCATGTTATCCATGAGGAAATAGAGGCTTGGAGAGCTTAAATAATTTACCCATGGTTCATGTTCCAAAGAAGCCACTCGAGGTATGAGGAACACAGGGCTAAGAGAAGAAAGCAAGAGATAGATTAAAATCTCTTCCCTGACTTTGAGGCTTTTGACTCAGACATACGTATTTGTTTCCATGGATATCTGTCCTCCTGGTAAGAAGCCTGTTTGGTAAGAAAGGTCTGGTTTCTTCTCTGCCAGGGGAACCAGAGGGACTTAATGTCCTCTGACTTGACGCCTCCTGGTTCTTTGGGAAGAAACAATCACAGTAGTTATTCTACGTTAGAAGACAACACTTTATGGGGTTAATCAGTCTCTGTTTGCCTCCAGGGGTACAATTCTTTTAGTGACCAAATGGTGCACAATTGATGTGTTCCTTACTTTCCAGGTGAATTTGTTGTTCCCAGAGAATAAGGAGGCTTGATGGGACTGTGCTCACAAGGTCATCAACTCATGACTTACTTGTCTTTATACTTGCCTCCCTGGCCAGCATAGAGCAGGTGGTGCTTAACGCCACAGACCCAAAGACACAGATCATCTCTTAGGGAAATGGAGACTTTTTTTGAGCCAGATGTCTAGGTTTGGGTTCACATGGGATCCCTTCATGATCTATCATAACTATAAAACTCACTGCTGTGCAGTCGGATACGACTCATTGTGACCCCCGCCCCTGGGTTTCCAAGGTGCTATCACTGCGGAAGTAGATTGCCCCATCTTCCTTCCGAGGAGTGGCTGGTGGGTTTGAACTGCCAGCCTTCTGCTTAGCAGTCAGATGCCTTAGGCACTATGCCACCAGAGGCAGTGGAATGTCTTCAGGCCATAAGATCTCATCTCAGTATGTCCTACCACTGTGCTGTCTTTCTAAGCAACATTACAATAGCAAGTTTTGTGGTGGTTTTGTGTTTGTAACAGAAATGCCAAGGCTTTAAGATGAAGGTAAGATGGTAATGATTCACCTTGCTCTCCTTTATTTGGAAAAAAAAGAAGTTGGGGGTCAGAACAGAGTAGCCTGATTAGTACCATTCTGTCTATCACACTTCCCCATTAGCTTGTGCCAGTACTCAAGGGATAAAGAAACAAAATGTCACTGTGACCAAAAAATCTGTTACTTTTTCTCTTCAGTGGAGAGGTGATGGTGGGCCTGGGTGTTTCTCCAAGAGCCTGAAGGATGGTTCTTGATGAAAAAGGCCTGGATACTTACTCCTACCTCTAGAAGTGACCCCCAGCTCCTTCCCCCAAGTCTAATTAAAGTGTCTTAGATTTTTTTTTTCTTTCATATGAACATGCTACCTAGTCATTGTGGAAAATAAAGATAAACGATTGTAATACAAACATGCATTCTCCCAGTTCTAACTTTCATATGAAAAATCTTGTCAGTGAGCAACAGCGATGCTCAAAGTGCTGGCTCAACACTTTTATTAAGAGTCTCCCAAAGCCTGGATTTAAAAGGTGACTACTGGATAGAGCTTAGAATTTTCCTCTGGTTCAGATCACTTCAGCGTTTCTCAGTGTGGTCGTTGACTATTCTGAGCTCGGATGCAGCGTATACCTGGCATCAGCTAAGTCCTTCTGATCAGGAAAGCTCCTCATTTTGCAAACCTGAGCACATCACCATCTGGATCCAACTCAACTCAAGTCTGAGCCTGGGTCGCTGCCTTCTGTGCCATTTACCCTCAGAGTCCCTCAATTAGAGGAAGGCCCCTCCGGAGGAACTGCTGGCCTCTGCTGCTAGAAACCCTGTCTGTGGGTGGGGTGACTTACATACTCCCTGATCCTTCTCCACCCCCAGTGACCTCTTACATGGTGAGACTTCCCAATATTTAACTGGGTCGCAATGGAGAATGGGTGTGCTGGCCCCTTCCACACCTGCTAGCAATTCTGCCCTTCATATCTTGGCTTTAAAACACCTGAAAACCTCTGTCCCTCCTTCAGGCCTTTGAAGGAGGGAACAGCATAAAGAAGCAGTCTAATCTGGAGGACATGGTTTCCTGCAGAGCTGGGCTTTCCCTGGGAATGAGACTGGCCATTCAGCTGTGTGCCTGTATAGACCCTCCTCTCATCCCTGTGAGTACATAGGTGTCAATGACAGCAACTCCATGAGTTTCAGGCATCCAGGCCACCCCAATCCATCGCTGCCCCCAGGCACTGCTGTTTTGGCCCTGCTAGCATATAGCAACAACCAACAACAACTTCCTCATTCCTGTGCCCTTCCCTCCCTGAGGCCCCCTTAGCACACCACCTTCCTCCTTGTTTCTCCTAATTCATTCTGTATGGCTGATCAGGGGTGGTCCCTTGTTGGGCACAGGAAACTCCTTCCTGCCTCCAAACCCAGCCTCTCAATCAGACCTGCTTTTCTGGATGTCCTTATTTATGGAGATAGTCTCTCAGGGGACCTTTTGTTGTGTGCCATCGACTTGATTCCCGTTCAGTGACCCAATGTGACAAAATAGAACTGCCCCATAGGGTTTCTTAGGTTATAATCTATGAGAGCAGATCGCCAGGTCTTTTTCTCCCAAAGAACTGCTGGTGAGTTCAAATGGTTGACCTTCCAGTCAGCAGCCGAGCACTTAACCATATTGCTCCACCAGGGCTCAATGAGAGATAGTGTTTATTTTTCCAGTTCAGGTGCACTCTCAGGGATTGAACCCCAGATCATCAGAGGGGTCAAGGAGGTGAGCCACGTTTGACCTGGGCCCTGTATAATTCAGAGCAGTGGTGAATATGGTGGGTGGGCTACTGCTGAGTGTTCTAAGCATGCCAGGGTGGCCTAGGGGCTGGTCTGACCTTGAGTGCACAGAGCACCTCTAGGGGTCACTGTGGCCTAAGGCTGCAACGTGGGACTTGGATTCTCAGCTGTGACACCACCCAAATTCACACCTTCCTTCCAGCTTGGTAAAACCACAAAAACCCATACACTCAGACTTCAGGCTCTGGGCTCTCAGGCTAGAGAGAACGCAAAGGTTATCTCATCCAGTGGGCCTCAGGTTGCCTCAGACAAGAATATCCTACGTAGCTTTATTTTACCCACATCCTGAAATTTTGAAAAACATCAACTCTACAGAAGAGTTGAAAGGATGATAAAATGAACCTTACATCCTCCAATATTTTGCCTCATTCACTTTACTCTTTGCCCTGAACCATTTTAAAGTAAGCCATTGTTTTTAAAACAGAAGGATGTAGACATGACACTTCTTAATACTTTGCTTGTATTGCTTAACAATAAGGATATTCTCTTATATTTCCAAAGTACTGTATCACATCTAAGAAAAGTAGCAAGAAATCAGTATCACCTAATAAATAGTTCTTCTTTTTCTTTCTTTCTTTTTTTTTTTTTAACTGATTTGGGTAAATTTTACAAAGCAGATTCATTTTATATTCAACAGTTCATACATATTTTGCTTTGTGACACTGATTACAATCTGCACAGTGTAACAGCTCTCTTCCCACTTGCTCCCTGTGGTTACCCTTTCCCTGTGTCCTTGCCTGTGCATTTCTGCCTTCCTACCTTTCTCCCAGAACAAATGGTGCCCCTCTGATCTCCCATCGTTTATTATTCTAAGGAGGGCATCTCCCTGGTGTAGTTGTTCAGCTCGTAGGCCTGTCTATTATTTGGCTGAGAGTTAAGCCACAGGAGTGAGTTCAATTCCAGACCCAAAGCCGATTTGGGGGCATAGTCCTGTGGGTTTCACCAGCCTCTATCTGACCGGTAAACATGGTCTTTTTTATGTTTTTGAATTTTGTCCCACATTTTTCTCCCACTCTATTCAGGATCTCCAGTTTTGATCCCTTTCTGAGTGGTCAACATTGGTAGCCAGGCACTATCTCATTCTTTCTGGTCTCAGGGTTATACAGGTCCATTCGCCCTTTGGACTAACTGTTTCCATGCATCTTTGATTTTCTTCATTCTTCTTTATTCTGGACAAGTAGAGACCAATTGTTGTATTTTAGATGGCTGTTCACAAGTTTTCAAGACCCCAGTCAGTACTCACCAAAGTGAAATGTAGGACAGTATTTTTTGTGTACTATGTGGTGCCAATTGAGCTTGATGTTCCTTGTGACCATGGTCCCAAGCCCACACACCCGGTGACTCACTCTCTCAAGGTGCTTCATTGTGGCTAAGAAGTTGTCCTAACTTTGCCCCATGTTAGCTTTATATTGCATATGGACACTTTTATAGCACATACAAATGCGTATGTAGTAATATCGCCTGACAGACCTATGTATGGTCATGGATATATTCCCCTTCACCTGTCCATACCTGATCTTCTTGTGTCTTTACCTATGTATCCACCCATACATTAGTGTTTGCTGTTACTGATAATGCAGTATTGTGTATCAGTAGTATTTACCTTTGTCTGTACCTCTTGTGCACCACTCCGTGTCTTTTCCTTAATGATATTGTGCTATTCATGTGCTTTTGTTATATTGCTTTTTC